TCCATCGAGTCTATGGGGCTTTCGTATATTTACATTTTAAAATATGGAATTTGATACTTTTTTTTTCTTTTTTTTTTTTTTTTTTATTGAAGCTTCGACCGATATAATAATATAGTAAATTCAATTAATCGGAAAACCTGATTGGACTTTAATGGATAATTTGCATGAAAATCGTTTTGATTAATTAATATTTTTGATGCAAAACAAGATTTAAATAATTTATGAAAATATATACTTTATGAAAATTTTAAATATCGCAATTTATTCATCGATAAATTCTAATATAATTGTTTGTTCATTCTTGACGTTTCCATGTTTTATCCGTACATTTTTTATTTATTGTATAAATCTCACTATAATTATATATATATATATTTCTTTTGTGTAGTCTAGCCTGCATGTCTGGCTTCCGACCTAGACCTCAATAAATGTAATACAGGTCATTTCAATTTTAAATTCCAAGGAGTAGCGCTTCGACTTTTGCTTAACTCGTTTAGAATATACGTTTACTCTTCTTTCGTATCGAATCGCGTTGAAAAAACAAATAATTCAAACATGTACAAGATATGACAAGAATTAAGATTTCTTTTCAATACATTCGATACATTTTCATTGTATCATTTTGAAATATTTGAAATAAAAAGATATTGTATCGATAAAATTTTTCAACGAAAAACTTAAAATTATATACAATGAGAATTAAAATGAATAAATTATTTCGAAAATTGAAAGAAATTGTACATTTTCTTTTTTTTTTTTTTATTTCATTTAAAATAATCGAAACATGAGAGATGGTCAATCGGTATTCGTCGCAGAAAATACTCCATGTCGCGTGAAGAGACACCGACGACCATCGTCCTTCGAGTAGTGAAATTTAAACGAACGGTTTTGCTCCCTTCACGAAACTTTCATATCGCATTCTCGTGCGGCTCAACCTTTCGTTTAAGAGGCGAGAAGAGAAGAAGGGGGATCCTCTGTGTCCTCGATACGTGAATGTCCATGAGAAAAGTTCCCTTCCTCCTTGGAGATGATTTGCCTCGCGTTATCATTTTCACTCTTTTCTATTATTATTTTAGATATGATTCAATCGATTATCGATAAGTTATTTAATAATATATATTTATCAAATTTATAACAAAGATCATTTAGTTTCTTAGTATCCAGTTTAAATTGGAATTATTCATCGACAATCATGTTTCTTCTTCTTCATTTTGATTTTAATTATTGTATTTCAAGTTTTTAAGTCATTATACCTCTTTATTCCGAATTAAGTGATTAAGTGAAAATTGATTAAATCTAACATGTAACGTGAATCAATAATGAAATCTTTAATATACCTCAACATTGAAATCTTAACATTTTGTTACGTTAGTTTGAGAATCCTTAAGATTCATTTGTCGCATTAACTTTCATTTGTTAGCTAGATAAGATAATAGGTTCAATTGCAAATTACTCAAAACTCAAATGACATTTATAAACGTAACAATAAAATTACCGTACTAAGAATCTGTCTATTAAGGACGAATAAATTTCGAAACATCCGTCATTCGAGCATAAACGGAAGAAATTCTGTCAATAAGAAGTGTTTTTAAAAAAAACATTTCTCAGATCTTCCAAAATCAATATACATTATACATTTTCGTTGTATAATAGTTGAAAATATACATTAATTCTTTCGTAATTTTTTTGACACTTGGTAAACACTCGTATCGATCATTTCGTCATTCGCTATCGCGTTAAGACTGGTTTTTTTATAGCTGACAAAAAACCAACAAAGAGGAAAATGAAAGGAGTGAAAGAAGAAGAATAAAAAGTGTGGAAAATTGAATGGTTGCGTTATCAAGAAAGCGAGTAATATCGCTTAAACTGGTTCACACCGACAAAAATTTCGCAAGAGAGTTGCCACCCGCTTGGTCGGTTTAATTTTCGAGGCAAGTTTTCGCATTCTGCGCATGCGCCATGTCAATAAACCTCGTTTACACTCGAGTTTCGTATCTAGAATCGTTCATTCCACGATTTCATTCACGAAGGTCGCTCCGTATCGTTAATTTTCTTCAAGACGATCTATCGATTCGTGCAATTGATTTAATTGCCAGGTTCTCGACGCGTAGCCCGAAAAATAATCGGTGTGCTGACCGATTCTGAAATGTCAAGAGGCGTTCCGTGAAGCGAGAGAAAAAAAAAAAAAATAAAAGAAAAAAAAAAAAAAGAAAGGATTTCGTAGGAATCGAGGAAGAGAAAGGAACACAACCAGGGGTGGAATCAAATAGTGGGTAGAGGGGAGGAGGGGGGGATATGCAGGGGCAGAGGTACAACTGTACCTCTACGTTGCGAAATACAGTCGATCGTGCTCGACTGACTTTCGATGAAATTCAATCGGGGAAAAAAGCTGCGCAGAATATTGTGTATGTATGTGTATATACAGGTTGGAAAAGAAATAATTAATTTTCAATGGAAAGCATGGATTTCTTACTTCGATTTATTAAAAGATCCCTGCAATTATCAAATTAAATTGTTTTTAAAATTCTTTTATAGCATTTTTTTTAATTATTCTTTGCATCTATATATTTTTTTTTTTTTATTTTCAAATAAATTCTTTTTAGATTTAATTCTTTCGATGCTCGATGAAAAAGAAATTAATTTCATTCGTTCAAATAGATTCGAAAATTAGAATAATAAAGCTTCTGGTTTCTATCTACCATCCGATGAATAATTCTTACGACATGGAATAAAGATAGAGATTAGAGTAATCTATCTCATAAAAAAAATTATTATTACCAGAAATATCTGCTTTGGATTTATATCTTTATATGCAAGATCATTTTCACGTTCGATGTATCGGATATACATTATATTCATTATATGAAATTTTACTACAGTGATTTTCGCATATATGTGTATATACATATATCAAATTATTTTTTATATTGTAATTTCCTTAATTCATCGCTTTTTTGGTATATACGAAATGCACGAAAGAAATTTATTTTTATATCGATACACAGGTTACTTACGCGTCATCGTGCAATTGACAAAATATTATTTCGGAATATGTCATTATTGATATTTTTTTATCAGAATATTTGATCATTTTACGTATCAGCGAATGAAAATATTTCATTTCACTCATTATGATGTCTCGAAAATCAAGGATCATTACCATTAAACATTCAATCAATCCTGTACACGTAATTGTTAATTGATGAGCGTGCGTGATGACCTCGTGACACATGGGAAATCTTCTAGCTAGACAGTAGTTGTAGTTAATAATTCATGCATGGAATTTTTTATGGGAATCTTCACTTTATAGGATTGTATAATAAGTAAAGAAAAAAAGTTTTTACAAACTAATATTCGTGAGAAAGTAGAATTGGTAGAATTGTAAAAAAATAATATATTATAATTACTAAAAAAAAAAATTTCAATATTTATTACTATTTTCATAATAAATAGTAAATAATATATGTTCTTCTTTATATATTTATAACATATAAATAATTTACTGAACATTATAAGAATTATAATTGTATTCGTTAAATACAATCTATTTGTTGATGTACTATTCTATCTATTAACACTTTCATTACGCAGCGGCTTCTAATTAGATTTACGATATTGGTAATCATATACAAAAGTAAACTTGTTAATTCTATGAATATAATTACCATTGATTACCAATATTACGTGTTATTTTCTGACTTACAAGCACCATTTATGAAACACAAAATATTTGCGGTTGAAAAATAGATACCTACATCGATATCTATATTTGGTCATTTAACTAATAATAATTTTAAACTCAAAGTTGTTTGTTTCCGATATCAATCAGATTATGTCGTGCCAACATAAAACGGAGCAAATTTAATTAACACGCTTGAAAATTATTTCTTTTATTTCTTTTATTTTCTTTTATTTGTATACAATTTTAAATAATAAATAAATAAAATTCCTCATCACGCGTGAGAAATATTTTCGCGCGCCACTAATTTTTCTTTCTGCTCATTTTCGTAACTAATCTCTCGATCTATAGATATCTATCGATGATTAGATCGTCAAATAGAGATTTGTTAATTTTTTTTGAAAACGATGATCGTAATTGATGAATAGTAAACGAAGTAAGATTATACACATAACACGTTAATCCTCCAAACTCTACAGCCATTTCGTTTACGTTCGTGCCGTTCCATGTCGTTTATCGAGATTAATTTCGCCGTCGAATAAATGCATCCGCACGCGTGCTCGTTGCAAGGTTGAATGAGCTTGAAATTATATTGCATAGATAACCGCGGACAGAGCGCGCCTTTGTTATCCGACGGAATTATGATCGCACGAGAACGCGTTAAAAGATAACCAAACAATGTCCGGAATTGAATCGTAAGAGTCAATAATTTAATGTCACTGTTCCGTCCATTTAACGAGATGATGAGAAAACTAGTTTCAATGGAAAATCTCTCGAAATTGCTTTGTATTCATCAATCGTGTATTAAATTACAACAAAGTTATTAATAAAATTCATATGTTATAATCTGATATATCTGATATATTATATTTTTAAATTATACTTAATTTTCGTTTTGATTTTGATATTGAAGAATTTTTCTTGTTAAACAAAAAAGGAAATCCATAATAGCGAAGATAACATGCGATACTATATCAAAGAGCGTAATGCGAGTAATGACAACAGGACCAGCGTATAAAATGTTACCTCGAGGAACATTAGATCTTACTTACGGATCCTACTTAATGTCTCAGACAGATAGATAAACAGATAGATAGATAGGCAACTAGAGATACATATGTTTTATATACCTTTAGCTTTATATACCTGGCAGATATAGGTAACTGTCACTGGTATAGAGAATATGAGAATATGTATATGGTTGGTCATGTCACGTATAATATACGCCAAGTACGTACTAGATCATAAACTGTTTCGTAATTTAATGCGACCTTATTATCAGGATGAAGGCACACGAATAACCGACGTATTTTGATTCCAGCAATTGTCCTTCCCATCTACGCAATCCAGCCATGGATCAGCAGGCTTTACGTTTAGTCTTTCTGGCAATCAAGACATTGAGGGTCCTCAGGGTGGTTTCGAATGCATCCAACAAACAGGCCCTAAGTAAATAATTTATTATTACATCGTGTCTTTCGGTATATTTATTGATATTGCATTTCTAATTTTATCGTAACAAATAAGTTCAATAATATTATTTATTTATTATTTAATTTAAAGTAAATTCTTAATGAAAAAAATTTGGATTATTTTCTTTCATTTTATAAGATTTTTCATTCATCGTACAAAATATATTGAAAATAAAATTTCTAATTTTGAAGAAAAAAAGGAATTGCATAACCTTAAATTACAAAAAAAAAAAAACTCACATCGTTTTCTGAATTTTATCGTAAATAATATATCCTCTAGGGAATAAAATCAATTCCAAATACTCGAATCTACCATATTACGTCTCTTAAACGTGCTCTAAATTTTCAAGATGCCAGAATCGACGTGGCAAAAAAGAAAAAATGGCGCCGACCTGCTCTAGCGATTTATAGGTCTCTTTATAGCGTTCCATTTTTCCTGTGCAGAAGCCTGGAGAGTCTTGGCGCATTGCCGTGTAAAATGCGGATACAGGCGAACGACGATGTGTACGAGACAACCAGGCATCGCATGGCTGTCGCCGAGGAGAATAATAAGAACAAATGGTAAGTCACTCCTTGAAAAGATACGAAAAGATTCGGCTTCATCCATGTTAGAAGTTTTCTTTCCTTAGAAGTTTTCTAATACTTTCCTTATCTCTTCTCTTTGTATTTAATTTTTCTATTTCAAATGGTTTGTTATATTTGAAAGCATTTTGCAACGTCACTCATTATAAATTTATGGAGATTTATGATCTTTTGGTCAATTTGAAATGTCAAATTGTTTACCTGCAATATTGTTTACCTGATGTTCATTCATGAATTGTGGAGGCAAAAAATTAATTTTGGAGGCAAAAATTAATTTATAGTTAAGATTGATTTATACATATAATTGTACATATTCGAATATTTAATCTAACAAATTTTTACAAGTAAAAAAATAATATAAAAATAAAATAAAATATTTTGTTAATATTCAATAAATCTTTATTGTAACAAAATATTAGTTAAACACAAAGATTATCATGATTGTAAATCATATTCATCAATGGATGAATATGAATAGAAATTAGTTAATTTGTTTAATAGTATAATGGTCAAGGTTAAGAATGCCCCACAAGTGCAACTTTATTCCAGAATCTTTGATGTCTATCGCTTTTGCGCTATGGACAAAATGCATTATAATATATTCATATAAATACATTACATAACAAGAACAGCAAATTCCAGTTAGGAACATAGATAAGAAAGAAATGAAGAATGCGATAACGTTAGAAATTCCATTGGCACTATTTTATGAAGTACATTGTACTAGTCGCGTCATCTATAAGTCATCAAGTGATAATATCATCAAGACGGCAGTACTGGTTACGTAATATTGTGTGTAATAACAAAAGCGATAATGGGCTTTGGTCAAAGCTGCTTGCGTCAAAAAGGAGAATTGATTAATTACTTTTCTTTTAGAATTTCTGTGGATTAAAGTACATTTGCTAAAGAGAATTGCCGTCAACAAGAATTTTTATAAATGATGTTAGATTTAGTTAAACTATCGAAAAGTAGAGATGGAAATAAAATAGAAATAATTTTAGTAGATAAAGTACAGAATAAGCTTATATGATTTTGAATTTTAATTTTTTTAAATAATGAAAATTGATTTATTCTTTATATCTTTTTTTTAATTAAATAATATATATATATATTTTTAATTGTAAATCAAGATTAATTTTTTAGTGTACAACAAATTTTTTAGCATAAGAAAAAATTAGAAAAAAGAGAAAGAGCGAGAAGTTTTGAAGATTTTAAATTTCTATTGTACAAGCTAATTTCGGCTATACATATATTTATAATATGTAATATTTATAATAACAAAATTAAGATGTAATATTTATAATAACAAAATTATCAACGTAATAGATCGATCGATTATAATTCTTATATCAAAGACAATTGACTATTGCTACATTTAATTATTGCTTTTGTCCCAATAGCGATATTGTTTCATTTCATTTTGAATCGATAATATTGCACGTGACAAGTAACAAAAGATGTGATATATATGATATATAGTCTTCATAGTATATGTTACACAAAAATGCAGATCAGATGATATATCTATTCTATATAAATCTATTCTGTATATGATCTTAAGGAAATATATTATTTGTTTTCTCAGCGTAAAATTCTTATATTATGCATATTTATAATTATGCAATTGCAGAATAAAATATTATTTAGTTTAATAAAAAAAAATTATAATACACTCGCGAATTAAATACGATAATTTTTGTAATTTAATTTTTTAAATTAATGTTAATTTTTTTAAGCCATACAAAAATACTTAAAAGTGTATTAATATGATAAATTATCATAAAATTTTTCTTAAATGTGTCATGTATTCTTTTGCTGTCTAATCTATATAAGAAAATATTTTAAGAATCGTCAATAACGAAGACATATAGTAATTTTAAATTGAAAAATGACAGAATAAGAAAATGTAGACGGTAATGATCATTATTTTTGTTCTCTTTTGCCTAACAACTGTAGACTGATATGCTTGCATAGTTTCACATATAGTACTTTCTATTATGAATATTTAATATAGAAGAGAACTAGTTCATTCACGTCGTAGGGTACTATCAATCATTTTCTCAACTTGTTAAATCATGCAAATTATAGGAAAGTAATGTAAAACTATCAGAAATATTGTCCATTATTTTAAAAAAAATAGTAATTTATTCATTTATTGAAAGAAACTATTATTTTTATTTATTTCTTTTCAATCTTTTACGCTTTAAATTTTTGCAAATAATAACGGAGTATATAATATTACAAATTTACATATTTTATAATATTAGATAATTTATAATAGAAACATAATAATTAAATAAGAAATAAATAAATAAGAAAACTTTAAAAATTTTTATTTGTAGAAATTAATAGATAATTCAAATATTTTTCATTCTTAACTATTAATTAAATAAAGTAAATTCAATGAAATATTACAAATTCAAAGACAATTTTTAAAGACAAAAGAGCAATTAAAAAAAAACAAATTTATAATTAATAATTATTCTTCAGAAAATTTTACAAATTAATAATTTTATAAATTATTTGAGAAATTTCAAATAATGTAGCTTTCTAAGCTACAATATTACTTTTCTCATCTTTTTCATATTTCTCATATTCTAAATAAGCAAGCCATTATAGAAAACAATTTATGGCATTTGATGTGAAGCATTCTGCATATAAAATCTCTCAGGTAGTAACTCAGGTATACGGTTTTTAGAATATTAGCAAGTATTTATGATATTTTCCTGACGTTAGGGGTCGCAGTTAGAAAATGAAGTAGGGGTTTTTCCTGGTCATTTCTAAATAGGACACCATTTTCGTTTAGTTCGTCACTGCGTGCAGACGTATCAGCATATTTTCCATTTTATGAAATACAAGAGTTTATATTTCGTCGCGTTTTTTTTATTATTATTTTTTTATTATCTTTTACATACAATTATGTCGATCAGTACTAGAGTTATCAAGCCAAATGGACCGGATATTGGTCGCAAGGTGAAGGTAAAATCGACTGGAAAACCCATACCATCGTCATCATCAAATTCAAGACACAGGGAATCAACAAGCATTCCAACTTCTGGAAGTCAGGCTAGACTGTCGTCTTCCTCTTACAAACCGGCTAATCCAGCAGCAGCTCGAAGCCAACCGGAGAAAAAAATCCCCGACATTATGCGCAGACCATTAAAGTAAGTTCAGAAAAACGTATAATATTTTATCATTCACACTTTTGATAAAATTAGATACTAATTAGGCAGAATAAGCAACTTAAAATATTTTTATATCTTGCATTTTTGTTATTAATTACAAAATATATATTTGTTTATATTATATAAAGATATTAAATATCGAGTAACTTGCATTATTATAATAATTTATATAACTATACTTATAATTATATAAATTGTATAGTTCTTTAGCTAATTAATTTTGAAACATTGGAAAATAAATTTTATTATTTGTTTTTTATCGCTTTTTTTATTAAAGATAAAAAATTTAGAAAAAGAAAATCATTATATAAATAATATAATGATAAAATTATGATTAGTGAAAAATAATATGTTTATTACTGAGATTTTGTTTTTATTGATACTTAAGAAAAAATAATGTTAGAGAAAGTTATATTAAATTTATTGTTAAATAGTTATTGTTAAATAGTTAATAAATAATATAAATAATTAATAAAAATAATTAACTCATAGCTAATTACTATTAACTATCGGTTATTTATACTATAAATAATTAATAAAAATAATTAATTGATAGCTAATATATTTAAATTTATTTTGTTTGCAGAGAAAGACTTATTCATCTTCTTGCTTTAAGGCCATATAAAAAACCTGAACTATATGATCGTATAAATAGAGGTAAAGATATATATATATATAAAAAACTTTAATATATTTATAAGATATTTCAAAAAAATTATTTGATTTATATTTCATTTTTAGAGGGTTTAAAAGAACGAGAGCGTAACATCATGACGACAATCTTAAAGCAAGTAGCTTTTATGAGGGATAATACGTATCATTTGCACAGATATGTTTGGAATGATGTGCAAGAAGACTGGCCTTATTATACCGAACAGGAAAAGGCAATGTTAAAAAGGAGAAAACCTCAAAATCTAACACCTCCTGGTTCCAGTGATGGTGGATCAAGTGGTAAGTGGTAATATAATTCATTTTTATGAATTCCATTTTATCGAATTTTATCAATAAAAGAAAATTGAGATTTTTCCGTTTTTCATATTAATCGGAAAAAAATGATTAGGAATTTCTCGACAGCTATATTGATATTCTTGAACATTTAAAAGTAATGATAATGATATTATTAAATTAACAAATTATTTCAACACAAATAAATATATAATAGTTTTTCCTTATGTTGATCTATATCTATAATAAATAAAATGATAAATAATATATATCGTCAAATAATCATTACAGGCAGCGGACAATCACCGAATTCCACTCATCCAGGTTCACCGCCGGCAATTACAGCACCACCTCCATCTTTGTTGAACAATAAGCGACCAGGATATTATCAGGGAAATGATGGATTACCGACGAAGAGACCACGGATATCCCATTATAAGAAGTCAGAACAAAATTCTGGATCGTCGATCACGGGAGAGAACGGAAGGACGGCTGGTAGTGGTAATAGTAATAACAGTGTTAGTGTTGTTTCTGGAGCTGGTAGTACTAGTGCTAACGGTGGCAGTAGTAGTAACAGCGGTGGTGTGGTTGATGGTTGGGATCAGAGACAGCATCAACGTGATCGTCGTGGCGATTATCGGCCCGAAAGAACAGCGAATAGTGACGTGCTTCGAAGCAGCAGCTACAGCACTGGGAAACCGTGCTTGACACCAACCAGTGACAGTGAAGAAATCAATCAAACTGGTCATCGGGATGGAATCATTACAAGCACCGGTTCATCCGGAAACAACACAGCTAATTCGGCCACTGGCCATAATTCTCATAGTGTAACCCATAGTAATTCTTTGAGCGGCAATCGTCATCATACCGGCAAGACGGCGATACTCGGTACCGATACCGGGAATTCTGGGACGGATTATGTGACGCGTCTTATGCCAAGTGTCGTGAGTGACGGTGGTAGTGCAAGTAGTTTTAGTGGTAGTTCGAATGGAATACTCGCTGATAGGAGAGACAGAAGCGACAGGAATGACAGGAGCCGCGCTAGCGAAAGGGATCGTGACTCAAGAAAGAAAAGCAACGGGACAGGTGGTAGCTCTTACAATGACTTATCTGCTTCTAATTACACCGCTACTGAGGATAATACTGTCAGTACATCGTCTTGTGCTCTTGAATTGCCTGAAAGTCCTAAGTCATCAGAATATCCGGACTACCTCACGTAAACATTTTAAAAATTAATAAAATGGTTCAATGATATTCATAATAAAACTTATTATTATCCCTATTATTAAAAAAATAAATATATTTTAGTATATTATTATTGTAACAATTATATTGTTAATATAATATAATATACAGTTTAATTGTAAATAAATATTTATATTAATACATATAATAATGGAGATAAAATAAAGAAATGAGAATTCCATATTTTTCTCAATAAAGCTAAATTTGTATATCATTGAACAAAATATAAATGTTATTTTATATAAATATATATATATATATATATATTATATATTTAACAAATTACTTATAGGTATTACACGACAATAAGTAGTTCAGAACAGAGAAGACGTTACAAAGCAGAATTTAATGCTGATTATGAAGAGTATCGACGGTTGCATGCTCAAGTAGCAAATGTATCTAAACGGTTCACGCAGCTTCAGGAACGTTTGAAACAAGAAGAAGCCTCTGGGAACTGGGAAGAGTACGAGGTATTGTATTTATATAAATAAATACACGATAAGTCATTTTTTTTATAAATGTTAATATAATATACTATACTATTAAAAATTTTAATTATTTTTATATTGTATTTTTTTTTATAGGAAGTAAGACGGCAAATTTTGCATGACTATAACGAAACTAAACGGGACCCTGTACATAAAGAAATAAAACGTCGATTTCATTATCTGCACGAGAAGCTAAGTCACATTAAACGGCTAGTATTGGAGTACGATACGCAAAACTGTGGCGGTGGGATGACAAGCAGCAGTAACGCTAATGGTAGCAACGAAATTAAGGAGATGGATAGTTTGCACTACTGACACAAACTGAAAAGGCCGCCTCTTATATTCAACCTTTTCTCAATTGTCGGTACGTTACTGTCTTCGTTGTCGCAGAATTTGCATTTTCTCGGCATGTTCCAAGGCTGATCTAAACGGTCCATATGGTTCCTGGTTCTGTCGTCGAAAAAAAAAGTCAAGTACTGTCTGAGCCGGGGTTGCAACAAACAAGAACCTTCATGCTGTTGTTAAAATTGCGAAAGTCGAAGATTTCTCTTCTATAATTGATTTGTGCGCGCGACTGTGATGATCTCTTCGACTTGCGCTTTTGTGTGATCGCGAGCGATCGTCGTGACGCGCTTGCGTGCTACTTCGACCAATGGTAACTACATCGATAAAGGGGCTTTTTAACGACAATCGGTACGTTTTGGGGGAAAAAAGGAAATGAAAAAAAAAAAGGAATGAAATAAAAGTCCATCCGAAGAGAGAGAGAAAACAATGAGAAAAAGGGCATTCGCGAAGAGCTAGATATAAACGCTCGAACTGAAATACATAGAAACGTATTTCTTCGAGAACTCTAATTCTATCTCCTACGAGGGATAAAAAAAAGAATAATAGAATAAAAAAATAAAAAAAGAAGAATTGAAAAAGCAGTAATTAACTCTATATAATTAGTTACTTACTGTGCGCACGTCCAAGTGTGTCGTCCAGTTTAAGAATTAGATTAAACAAACAAAAAAAAAAAAAAAATACAAATGCGAATGCGAGAAGAGGGTCCAAAAGTTAGTAAGGGCTTATCATGTGCCACGTCCGGAAAAGACTATATTTCTTTTTTCTGCCGGCAGGAAAAAAGAAAAAGACTAGCACAGACTGTCCACAAACTGCCGTGAATCATATATAAGATCTGCTACTCGCCAATTTCTTTTTGTTCTTTTTTTTCTTTTTTTTCTTTTTTTCTTTTCTTTTTTTTTTTTTTTATTTTATGTTTGTTCAAAGAGTCTCGTTAGAATTATAAACAAATGAATTATTAATTTTTCTGCTAAGAGAGAGAGATCATTTATGCTTCACAAATCTAAAATGATTCTTTGTTATTTCTTCGTTCTCTTTTTTTTTTTTCTTCACCACTCTGTCTGCACTGTATATCGTAAATATAGTTGCTATATCTTTACTAAATCAACACAAAAATGGCACAAGTTGGGAATCAATCTTGCAACAATTAAAATAAAATTTAAAAAAATTAAAAGTGAAAAAAAACGTAATAAACAAAAAAAAGGAAGAATGAGAATACATTAAATACTTTTTAGATTTATCTGCCATAAAGTGATATAACAAAGCGAATCACTGTGCGGTTAATGCAGTTTGCATAGTGCATATTTTTCATTTTAGAAGAAACAGAATTGAAGTTAGAGAATGGAAAATGGAAACAAAATGGACCTTGCCCCTTCCAAATCACGCGATCGCTCGTAGTGGTTCCGGTTGTGTATATCGTATGTTAGGGTAAATCCATTTTATACGATTTCGAAAATCTTATTAGTCACTGAAAGAAAGAATGCTCAGCGCCATCATCGATATGATCAAACATTTCATACGCAGCAAAATAAAAATACAAAAAAATATACATACATATATATATATATATAAGTGAAGTAAGAAAAAGTAAAACAATAAAATCGAAATATTAAAATAAATAAGTTTCATAGTAATTATTATTAATAGTCGTCATCGGCGATAAATATATAGTATATAATATGTTGTACAGTGTGCGCCAATTTATTACGCGTATGAATATCTTCTTCGTGTAATTAATATTATTATTATGACGATAAATACTAATATAATTATTGATGCTACTGCTATCATTATTGTTCGAATAGTTAGGTAGATAGATATAACGCAAATTTTTTGTTAGAGAAAAATGAAAGAAACGAAAAACGATGTTAAATCAAGCTAATGTTTTCCATCGAATGTGTAACGAAAGTTTACAATGTTAAAGTTTTTAAAATATCTTTTTATCTGTTTATTATGTTATTTTTGAAATCGAATGCATAAGCATATTGGATAAATTTTAAATGTAGTAATTTTGAATGTGTCCTTTTATGCCATTGCCTTTAATTTTTTCGTTTTTTTTTTTTTTTTTTTTTTTTCTCTTTTCAAATTGATACGCAGTTGCCTTTTATATTTGTATACGAGATGAGTGTTTTTTATTTCGCGTTTTTGTTTCACATTCAGTAAGAATTTGCAGATAATTGCGAGTGCTTTGTGATAGAAAGTGAAAGAATCGAGAAAGAATAATATAAAGAAAGAGAATTTGGCACGTATTAATTCAATATATTGCGTATACATCGCCATTTATGTGAATGAAATTTGTATGATATTGACGATCTTAAGAATTTAAATATTGGTATATAGGGTTTTACACTCTTATAGGATACATGTTTGAACTTTCTTCTTCCATGTAGTGTTTTAAAATGCGAAAATATTATAATTTCAATTTAAAAATTATTTTATAATAATTTTTTTCTTATAGATATAAATTTAATTTAAAAAATGAATTCTTTGATTTGATCTGTCTCGTTTAAATATTATATCAGTTTTATGTTTCTTCTTTACATAGTCATTTAGGTTTATAGAAACATATTTTGAGAATTATTAGAAAATTAAAATTGAATATTAAAACATCCAATATTATTACAACTCTTTTTTAGTAATGAAAGGATAGTTAAGCTTGCCTTAAATGAAGTCCTTGTTATATTTTTACTGAAATTTTATCGTACATCGTTATTTGCGCTTTGAGTTTTCTTTTTTTTTCTATCCAAATCCTTTACATTATTTATAATTTGCTGAAATATATTATTATATCTTAAAAAGTAAATACTGATAAATGATTAGCGTTCCATATATGATGGATTTTAAACCATTATAATTTAACTTGTAATTTATATTTTTAAAAAGACATATCCTTAATATAATTTTTTATTAGAACATTTTAAAATAGTAATTATGCTTATACAATAACAAGTATAACAATAACATAACAATTCGTTTATAAATTAATAATTGATGTCATTTTCGTTATTTCTTATCTTTTTGAAAAATTTTTGAGCAAAGAATAAAAAAAATTCTGAATTTGTTATTAGATATTTTATAGATTCATTGTTTGCTCTTCTTAAAACTCTCTGTGCAATGTATTTGCTCTTTTTATGTATTATATTTATACTTATCCACAACATTAATAAGAAGAAAGTGCATAGACATCTGAAAACATCGATTAAATGCATTTGATGGGGTTAAAGAGAAGAGAAAGACAAAGTAATGAAAGTTTTAAAATATTAAATGGTCTTGTTGTTAAGAAGAAAAAATTAACTGAGCGCTACAGGAGTATGCATGGCACAGTGTTGACAAGTATTTTCTACTGACTGCAACGAATTTAAAAAATGCAAATCTTATGTAAAAAATTAATTTAACCTATTTTTATATATAAAAATATGTCTATATGAGTAAATAAATAAATAAATAAATATATATATCATTATAAGACCTATCGTGTGTGAGTTCACGGAAATAAATGAAAATTGTAAAAATGCTAATATCGAAATAGTTATGGTTTTAGTTGTAACTAAAAGATATAGGAATCATTCGTTGTTATTTAATTTGGACTATGTTCCTTTTTTTGTAGATATAATTGATAGGCAATTTTATCTTTGCTCACTCTTTTTCCCCTGCATTTACGAAAAGAAAAAAAAAATATAATAAAAATTATGAAATATTAATTCATGCGTTTCTTTTTACTCTCATTACACTTTACCATTTTTTACAATCAAACTAGAAAATTATGGAAAAATAGTGAATGTAATTATATACAACAGGTATTTATATAATGCGTAGAATAAAAAGAAAACGCGTAAAAGAGAGAAAAAAGTTTTCAGAAAATTCTTTTAATATTGTCATACTGTGCCATACATATTCACTTCGGTGTACGATGGTTCAGTAAAATATTCGTATTTAGATTAATTAATATAATTAGTAAATATTCCAACTTTAATTTTTATATTTTCATCATTTGCGCGCTGATTATAGAGCAAATGAAATTATTTAGTATATATATCATTTATATATACTAAATTTTTATAACATTCCTATGACGTAAATAGTAAATTTTAAAAAGAAAAAATAATAAAATAATAATCCAAGAAAAAAGTAAATTTAAATCAATTATTTAAATAATGTTCTCTTTGTTTCTTTGATTAATTTCAATTAATTTTATGTACAATTTTTTACGAAATTTTACATGTTTATTTTTGTTATTGTCACAATCAACGTGTATATAAATAATATTAATCAAGAGTGTAAAATCATAATCGAATTGAAGCAAAAACAATGCTTGAAGAGACTGAATTAAAAAACACTCGGTTCATAAAAAATCGTAAAATTCAAGTGCAACTTAAATAAACGATGCAATAATAGCGCCACATTTCAAACGTGAGAGTATATACATTTAATGGATCCAAATACTCAATGGAATATACATGAAATGACAGAATACCAGATGAGAATAATACATTAGAAATTTATCTCATTATTAGTTCTTTCAGACTTGCAAAAATATTTGAAGCTCAGTATATAAGCTCAAAAATAAATGAAATAAATGATATCTGTATAGAAAAAAATAACGTCATAGCGAAGTAAGTGCTCTTAACAATGCATTTGATAATTCATAATGATTAAGTTTGATCGTCTGTATATTATTAATTTGGTTATTCCGTTGTTAAAACGCTTCAAACGAAAAGAATTTCATTTCTATTGCCTCCTATATTTTTTCCTTATTACCTTATTGTATCGTTACAGATTTGATTTCTCAAAACTTTTGATATCGAATTTATTTGAATGATCGAAATTACAAACACATGTATCAATCATGTGCAATTTATAAACACGCATTTTGATATCGTCGAGTATATTCAAAATCGAAGATCGCGTGATCAATTTAAGATTAATCAAAATTCCAAGATGTTTAGATCAATCTCTTGTTTACATTTTTTTATTTTTTATTTTTTTTTTAATTTTTTGTTTCTTAAAATCTTATTTTTCAATATTGCCAGTTTTTTTATCAATTTTTAAAAAAATTTTCTTCTATTATGTTTCATTCGTCTTTGAAAGAATATAATCTTATTTTCATTCCTTTATGAATCATTCTTTATTCGGTATTATCATGTTTCTCTATTTGTTTGTTTTTGTACACAAATTTAACAAAAAAAGTAATATATTTATCTTCTTAGTTAATTTCTCAAAAAATTTGTTTAAACGACGAAATAATCATGTTCAGGTCATTGAATCAATGGAAGATTGATTCGAAAAATAATTCACACTTTATCATCGATTTTCAGATATATACACGTGTACGTATATGTATATATACGTAATGTCTTATTATCTACGTCATTGTATAATATTTAATACGAAGTAAAGAAAGAACAGTATCAGATACTCAGACTTTTTTCACGAATCAAAATTTTCGACCAGTAAATTCTATTAATTATTATGTCTGTTTCAATTTTTGGCTCTCTCTCTCTCTCTTTCTTTTCTTTTTTTCCTTTTTAAAATTCTTTTTTTTTTAATTTTTTCAAAGCTTAAGAATAAAAAGAAAAAAAGCAGAAAATCCAAGTGCCAATTTTAGCGAAGCAAGAGTATAATGACTATACATATATACATATATATTATAAAAATATATATATATACAATATATTTAGCGTAATTCCATGTGCATTATTTCTTATGATATTAATACGTGTGAACATTGACAAGAGAGGAAAATTTTCAGAAATATTTTTCTTTTGATGTCTAAAGAAGGAACTTATTAGAAACATGTATTAACGAGTTTTGAAAAAAAGCATCATTTGCAAAGAAACTGTCTCCCTTTCCTTACTCCTCATTTCCTCCTTGTTCATGGAGAAAACGTATCATTATCGAAATGACATATACTTAGATAAATTTTTAAAAAGAGAACTTTCGTATCTTAGTTGAGGAAGTTGTGTAAAACGAAAAAAAAGTGAGATGATGTGCCGCGCTTTAGATAAAATTAAAATTTAAGTTGTTAGATTTTTCATTGGTGTTTTATTGGTGTCGATTTTTTTATATTTTTTTTCACGGTCCCCTTTCTCTTTCTAAATGTCGGATCGTTAATCATCTAATAATCGTAAAGTGTCGCTGAGTCCTATCAATTTGTCGACGCTTTGGACATTCTTTGAAACGAGATTTCTTCGATCATTCTTTTCGCAAAGTCTTTCGCTTCAAACTTGTTGTTAGTGTTTCTATTGATAGAAAATTCCTCGTTATAACGCTTGAGCAAAATTGAAAAACTTTTCAATCTGTGAATGTTTTTAAAATTTTTCACTTTTATTAAAAATAAATTAAATTTATTTTCTAAATTTATGTGTCAAATGCTTAATTAAGATGTATTATAAAATAAATATAATAAAAATCTCTTATTAAAAATGAAATTATAACAAAAATATTTGCACAATTTCTCTAAAATTTAAAAAAAAATAAAATATTTAAAAGGACAAAGATTAAAAAGCTTAAACATTCATGTGCTAAAAATATATTCTCAATAATTGAAGATTACTACTTTTTCAGATTTTTTCTAATTATTTATTGTCATCATACTTTTTTCCCGATAATTCTAATAATTTCGATAATCAAATCTCCAATTAATCAAATCTTCAAATTATTACAAGAATAGCAATAGATTATTTTAGTTTTTTCGTCTATCCCTGTCTCCACTGCCTCTTTCGGCCGTCCTGACATAACAGAAAAATTTCTCGTTATATAATGTTGCATGAATATAATGTTCCATCATGTGGCTAAGCGAGGAGAACGATTTAAGAAAAAAAATCAAAATAATTTATAGGATACAATCTTTATAAACATGAGAAACGAATTAAAAAAAATTCTCTTATATAGGTTATATAATATACAAAATTTTATCTTGTGATTTGTTAATCATATTTTTCGACGTGTGTTCTAAAAATATTTTAAGTCATTGAATAGAATATTAAATGTAATAGATTTTTATCAAAGACCATTGAAAATTTAAATCAATATTTAATTCGAATTTTTTATTTCGATACTTCAATTGAAGGTAAATTTGCTTTCTTTTATTTATTTATTTTTAGAAAAAGATTGAGTTTTTTTTAACGAATTTTGATACAAATGAATTAAAATATTCATCAACAGAATTGTTTATTACAATATTTTAATATTTTAAATTTAAATTCATAATTAAAATGACTAACGTTGGCTATATTTTTAAATCATATGCTAAAAATAATCATGCAATATATTAGATAAAATTTAAAACACTACTCAATGAAATAAAGATAAATATTTTTGTTAGATGATATGTTATAACATAAAATAATAGAGCTTTTGCAATATTTCTAATTATTAGAAAATAAAAATTTATAATTTGGTTACAATCGTAGATATATTTGTTTATCTTTTAACATTTTTTAAAATTTTATTTTATGTATTTTGTTTTATTTTCAAGTATCTGATTTAATCTTAAATAATAATCAATTAATTAATATGATTTAATATCAACAAATTATTAAAAATTGCTTATTATTAAAAATTGCAATTATAAGAAGAAAATATCTAATATTACTGGTTATCTGATTATACAAAATCCGGTTTTTAATTACACTATTCATCATTTTATGATCATTATAACATATGTACAAAAAGATCTCGTGTCTTGACAAAACAGTTCTGGTATATCAATCTTATAGCAAACTTTCCAATTTCATTTATGATTTCCATAAAATACCCAAGCAAAGAAAATTACGCTTTCGAATAAAGGAAGTTTCATTTCCATTTGTTTTTAACAAATCAATCAATTAAGTTGAAAAATATGCGATACGTAAAATCATATCAATCCAAATGAAGTGCATTAAGTAGTTAATTAAACGATGTATAGATCGCGTGACTAGTTCGGTACTGCATTTCGTACATGCGCAAATCATAATTGCCAACAAAAACTAATTTCCAATCATATTCTTTCTTTTTCGCGTGACACATAATGTGTGAATATACTAATATTTCCATTTCATTGCAATATGATATTGGAATTTCTCGTCGAAATGTGATTTCGAATGCTTTCAGAGATATTACTAACAACGAAGAAATTTTCCAAAGTTTCTTATGAGAGACGAATATTTCGAATTAGATTCATTTATTGTTGCAACATAAATCGTTTGTCGTATGTGATAAGATATAAAGGAAACGGAAGAGAAAGGATAATCGTGACAAGTTATTGGACAACAAAACGGGCATAATTTAGACCTGGAAATATTGTTATAGTCATTTTCTTCCTTGCTTATTATAGTAGATCTTTACTGACGAATGAGTTACCTGACGAGCGGTATAACATGTTTGTTTATCGCATAGTACTATATTTTTTGACTGTGATGTTAGAATCTTTGTAACAACATAGATTGCATAAAGATTTCGTTCGATAGAGATTCAATGAAGAAATCTCATCAATTGGAAACCTATATTTGCAATATGATAGAATGGGATCCCGTGATCACTTTTTTTCCTTTCGTTGATTCCATGTTGTCTAACACGATTAATCGAAATATTAACTTCTTCGATACAATGACATAAAATGCGCGAATTGTTCATTCGTCATTGTTTTTATGTTAGCGATACGATACTACGCTTTTACGATTCGCATAATAAATATATACATTTCACAATCGCAAAAAATGTTTATAATTTGAATATTATCAACAAGGAAAGATCTTTCAAATCTTTCCACGTACATCGAAATTAATCGTAAACATCGCTATTGTATCAAAACATTTAAGTTTTAATTAATTATAATGATGTGTCCGACGAGCTAACGTTTTGATATATATAAATTGATTTTTGCAAATATACAATACGAAGGGTACATAACCTATTATAAAATTTGGGTTAACATGTATGTATGCATGTATCTGTAGCAAAAAAAATAATGTTTAAACATTCGAGAGGTTAAGACATGAAGAAGTCGTAATTTTTTGTATATACATAACATTCATTAATCTTGATGATCTAAGCATGTGACATCATTTTGTACAGGAATAGCCTTAGAAATATACATAGATATTGGGTAATTTTAAACTTTGCTCGAACACATCGTAATGTTTCCGAATTGACTGAAACAAAATAAATTGGACAAATATTTTATTTATTTTTTATTACCAATAGTACGTATTATTAATAATGTAGATATCGATTAATTACATGATCTTAGAATTAAATAATACTTGACTTTTTACGTTCAACCATCCTCTTTGTCCGTCACATCGAAGTTATTGAGAAACTTGTTCAATTATAAAATCCTATTATCCATGGAGGTGCTCGAGCAAGGGACAAAATCGAATTAAATGTAAGAAAGGAAACTTCGTGATACGCGAAAAAGAGAGAAGTATATAAAATATACTCATTAAAAATCATCATGAATGTTACTTTGGACGGTGAAGAAAATTAGAATAAAGGAGAACGAAGAAACATGATTTCTATTACCCATATCAAACTAAGAGTTAGTTTGTAAAGAAAAAAATATAACAAAAAAAAAAAAAAAAAAAATAGAAAATATAAAAAAAATAGAAAATATAAAAAAAATAGTAATAATAAAGAAATAGGAACTAATCTCGTACTCACTATGAATGATGTATCGAAATTGTTTTCATTGGTTTTAATGATAAAAAACGATGATGGATGCCTTTTGTCTATGGAATGATTACGAGGTTGGTATTTCAATGCGATTATCAAGAAATACAAAAATTATTGCATACTATCAGAGAAAGTTATATTCTCTAAGTGCTTCTTATATTACTTCACATAATCGAATGACTCAATTGATTTATAAAACATGATGACTTAAAATGTATAGAAGGCAGCTTGGGAGTTTTCATTATCCTCTTAGCTATTATCATCTTTACCGATCAAGGCCAATATTGTCTTTTAATGATTTTGAAAATTTCATTTTCTTTCCATTATTTTCGAAAAATGAAAGGAACAGGGGAAATGGAACGACAACGATATAGAAAAGAAAACGAAACTTGTTGTTTTCTCTTTTCCCTTCTTTTTTTCTCTTTTCTTTATATTTAAAGAAATTTGATGAATAAGTGAACGATAAGCAAAAATAAATAAAGAATCACACATATATGCGCAAATACAAATATACAACGTAAAATGATTAAATGATCCCATAGAATGGATCATTCCGTCGATAGATATATGTATAATATGTAACTCTTATTGACGACACTGCATTGCTTCCCCTGACAAAGGCTCATGTATTCATTATATAGTTATATTTGCAATCATTACCTATATATATATATATATATATATATAATATATACACACATACATATATATATATATATATACACACAAAGGCAAAAACTGGATAAAAAAAAGAAAAAAATATTTAAATATTGTTGGCAAGTGCGATAAATGACTGCGTGGAACATTATCGACAGGAGGAAAACGATTTAACTTGATAATAAATGATTATAAATGGAAGAAGAAGAAATATGTATATTTCTCTCCGATATCGGAACAACTATGATATATGTGGGGGAAAGAAACAGATTTATTATTCTCTATCTTTCTTTCTCTGTTGATTATATTCTATTTTACTTTCTTTTTCTTTCCCCCTCATTTTTTCTTCCGTTAATTATTATTACAATTATTATTATTATTGCTATTATGATAATTATTATTATTCTTTATTATTATTATTATTATTATTATTATTATTATTATTAATGTTAATTAATGTTATTACATATGTTAATCATTCGATTATGTTATCCTCGAGTGTTAGACTGGGACGTGCAATGTTGCGACGGTTCAAGATCAATATTTATCTCCAAGTATAATTAAATTGTTAAAAAAAATTGTATTTTTTGTAAGCGGGGAACATTTTTTGTCTAAATGTTGAATACACGAGAAATGTTATAAATTATCAATTTTAAATTGGCATATTTTTATCAATGTTAGTAGCTAATCCTAAATTTATATAGAAGATTTATAATTAAAAGTATTAACAATTAATACGAAAAATTCATTCGCATATTTAAAAAACATAATAAGTATTAATTATCTGAATTTGATTTGGCCAATTGTTTGTGTTGTGTAAACACAAAAAAAATATGTAAATCAAATAATTGTTCATGAAGTCATATCATATGCAGTATTTTAATCAAACTATAGTAAAAATCTAGATAACGTGTGCCTGTTGCCTTATAAAGAGCATATATAAATTATTTTAGCAACACAATGTCCCATAATAGTCGCGAGTGTTCTAAAATATTTCACAAAGTTATTAGGGGATCGTTCACTAAAACATAAATTTATCACTTAATATAGTATATATTTTAAATATTCCAATTTTATTCAATAAAATCATTATTTTAGTGAAATTTTTCTTTCCTAATGATTTCTATAATATATACGTATATAATCCCCTAATTACTTCAATTAATATTCACTTTCACTAAGTATAGTAAAGAAATTTTCGTTTAAAATAATAAAAAAAAAATTGTAGATCTAAGATTTAATTGTGATGTTAAGGTTATGTTTTCAGCTACTACTGAAATATTTTCACGAAACGAATTAATGTTATATCTAATGCCTAATTAATACCTAAAAAGATATATGTTGCAACACAACTGAGTCCATGGATATTCCCCGTAAATATAATCGTTATACGTAGATTTCTTCGTGTTCCAAAATCAAAACGTGCCTGGTATAATCGTTGACGAATTACTATTATATAGTTAGAATAGCAACAAAGTATACCGGTGGAAAAAGAACGAGAAGTAGGGGAAAAAAGAGAGAGAAAAAGACAATTTCTTTTCTACAGTGGACTCTTCAGTTTGTGGTTATCGGCGAGAGGCACACAGAACTGAACGCTATTGCGCGAAACAATTTCCTCCGTTTCTTACTACGATTCTGTTTCACGCATAGTTCCGGCCGTTTCCCCGCGTGCTTTTATTTTATTCGAGAATAAAAGAAAAAAGAAGAAAATATAAGAACCGTGCGTGTTAAATATATACGTGTGAAAATTGTACGAAGAAAAAAAATTATAAAAATGCTACTCGGAACATGAAAAAAAAAAAGAAACAAGAAGAGGTTAGAATGGAAACTTGTGAACGTAATGAAAATATAATTAATATGTAAAAAGAATGATGATGTTCTCTTTGTCGAATGAAGAAAAAAAGAATATGAGTAAGTCGATGGCTTTTACAATAAGATCAAGCTACGATATAGATATGTAATAATTAAATACATATTGTGTTTTTTCTTGTATGACGACTACTGCTTGACAATTCATACGACGACGATTATGGTGACGATTACACAAGAATGTAAACGGAGTATGTATAAAATGTATTTTAAGTCTGGATAAAAAAAATCAATTTACACTTACAATTTACAGTAACGAGTAACAATAACTGATGTGGGTTGTGCATAAGAAAAGAAAACAAAAACAAAAAGAAAAAAAAATGAAAAGCGTATATATACAGTAAACATGGCGATTCGTGATAATGGAGAATCGGATCGACTCAATGATCAAATTGCGCACGTGCTGCGTGTAGAAAACAAGTTTTCGTCCCAGTGCGGATTCACTTCTTTCCTGACTGTTCTTTTTTATTTTGTTTTGTCATTCTGCTTATATAATTAAATTATGTGATTCTCACTTCAGTTAATCGTATTCCATTGTTTCTGATAAACTTGCATAACATTGTTTTAAAATTTATTCATTTTTTATTGAATTTTTTGTTAAAATTCAGTAAAAATAAAATTAAACATAATAGAAAAAATAGAAGATAATAAAAAAAAATGTTTATATTGAATTGTAATTTTTTTTTCTTTATACACATATATTTGCGATTTGATATGTTAATATGTTAATAATATATTATAATGTTAATTTTTATTTATTAAAAGACAAATGAAATAAAAAATAAAAAGGCACGTAAGGAAAAATAGAAAAGGATCGCATAGGTGAATAAGCGTTAGAAAATAAAACAGGAGTGCCAAAATCATCCGTGACTTCCGTCCCACTTGGGCAATAATAAGTACAGCAACTTGACGAGAATACAAATGTTTGCCATTTGTCCTCCAATAATTGTAAGGATTTTTAATCTGTCCGTTATATCGATCTTTTTTTTGTATTGTACTCGAAAAATGATCAGTATATCCGTTATTTTCACCAAGATTTTTTGGTCGAAGATATCGTGATCATATATTAATAGTAAAAACGAAAACCAATAAATGTCATTGAAAAATAGAAAGAAAAAAGAAAAATCTATTTGAAACACAATTTTACAGCAAAGATCGTTACTTTCGAGCAATTGATACAAATAATCGATCTGAATAAAATAATATTGACACTCGCTATTAGTGCCTGTCGTTTCGTCGATAATCAGGACAGAGAGTGTTTTGTCGAGAAACCTCTAATTCCATTCGTCGAACTGACTAAAATGAGGTTGTATCCGATTCTCCATTTATATATTATGGATGCTGTTTATTAAAAGTAATAGATTGGCCGTAATCAATTTTGACGGCTAATTAAAAAAAAATATTTATTCAGACGACTTGCCAGTTTCGTTGCACAGTATACACGATGTAGGTTTGAGCGAAATAAAAAAACATAAAAAAATAAATAAATCAATCAATAATAATGGAAAGAAATTTAGAGATTATGAATTAAATGAATGAGTTGCATAGTTATTTGAGAAGTTTCACGAAATATCGATGTATATATTTTAAGTTTGTATTATAATGCCCCCACTTAATTTGTATGAAATGGAGAATTTCAAATATTAAAATGATAAAAAAAATCTTTGTTCTTTTTTCTATTTTCCTATTTTTATTTTTTGTCGTTAAATATTATATCCCTATTTTATATGTATTTAAATACACACATAAATTGAATCAATTCAATTCTTATATTCCTACATATGTCATTAATATATAATAATTGATGATATAAAAATATATGAAATACAATCTGTTTTATCTGATATTATTTTGATTTATATCATTATTATTCTATATTCTATATCATTATTATTATATCTATGATGAAAAATGTTTCATATAAAAAAAAGGTTATAATATAAAAAGAGGTTATAACTATTTTTTTTATTAAAAATACAAAATTTCTTAATACATATCTTATGTACACATGTATTTCAATATATATTCAAAACAACTTTAAATATACACATATTATTATTATATTACATTATATACATATCTAATTCAATAAAAAACTTTCATCGAAATATAGGAACTTTTTTATTTGATAATTTTCGATCATTTTTTTCAAATCGAATAGAAAAAAATCTGTTTATTTTATGAAATTCGTTTGTCCATTTTTATATGGATAATTTTTTAACAATATTTAATGGAAAAATACTGTGTATTAAAAGTATCAACGTATTTTTATTTTACTTAACTTTTTTAACATAATACAGTTGACAACGAGTGGAGGACTATGCGCAGTGCAGTATCACATGTCAATGTTCACCGCGCATGTACTTACCGGTGAAAACGACATGGCAGGTGTTTCGATTGCTTCTTATTGTTGATTATTTTTAATAGATAAGAGATTAACTACGATTACTCTGAAGGACAATGATAACACATATGTTAGATAATAATTTATAAAATTATTTATTTTAATTTATTTTAATTAATTGCCAAAGTTATATAAACATGTCGAACACACGCGAAGCAGAGGTAAGCGTTTATAACTGTTTCGTATCTATATTTTAGTACTTATAATTTTTACTTTTAAACATATAATTATAATTATTAATTAATAATTAAAACATAAACACGAACATAATTTACATAACATCTTTTTATGTAAATTAATATTGAAATTAATCTATATTACGTTATGAAAGAGTTTAAAGTTAATATTGCGGTACTTATTACATTATCACAATTTCATTGAAGGTACAAAATCTCAAGGAACGTGGAAACGCGTGTGTAAAAGAACAAAAATACGAAGAAGCTATGTTTCATTATACTCATGCCATTAAACTAGATCCACAAAATTATTCCTTGTATAGTAATCGATCATTTGCATTTTTAAAATTACAACAATATCATTTTGCAATGGAAGATGCATTAATGACAATTCAATTAAAACCTGATTGGACCAAGGTATATTTATAATATTCTTATGTTTATTAATAAAAAATAAATTTTGCAAAATATATTTATATATATTGAATAAAATCATAGCATATTTAATCTTTTTATAGGGTTATTTTAGAAAAGCTGAAATAGAATCACAAACATTTCGCTTCAGTGAAGCACTTCAATCTTACAATAAAGCTTTAGCCCTTCAACCAAATGAACCAACAATTTTAGAAGCAATGAATAGAGTATCCCGATTATTAATTAAAGACAAACGAGGTATTGGTATCAATAATATTAAAATAATTATACTAAAAATATTTTATATATTTTAATATAATAAATAAGTAAAATTATATAGTAAAATTATTTTTTAGCTGATCAACAAATACCTTGGCTTGGAGCTGGTGTTGGTATCATACTTGGTGTAATAGTTGTAATTGCAGATTATGTTTTTACAAATAAACCTACATTAACGGTATTTAAATTGATTTAATAGTTTTAGAAGTCAGTTTTAAAATAAATGTTTATAATAATTATTTTATAATGATTTTTTTTCATTAGATGCAACATCCTCTTTTGATGGCCTTATTGACAATGTCTATAGCAATGTTGGGTTTTGGTATTGCAAAAGGATTCCGTTATTTCATAAAATGTCAGAGAAAATCACTTTTGGAACCTCCAGTGGATCTTTTTGGTGATAACAAAGAAGAATTTGATGATATTGAAACTGAAATGAATAATGAAAAAGAAAAACATCCCAAATATAGTAAAGCACAAGCAAGACAAAGATTCAAAAAAGGAAAATCGTAGTGTGCTTTGATATTAATGATATACATGCATTTTTATGTAAATTTTAACATCATACACTTTTTAGCATCTCAGGAAAGCACTGATTACTTATAATCAATGTTATTAGATAACATAAACAACAGAAAATTATATTGGTACTATTTATATTTTATACTTCTGTTATTGTTAAATAATGTTAAAGTACTGAAAACATGTGCCAGAATTTCTGTATTTCTTTATATTTTGTGTTTAAAAATTTTTATATCAAATATTTCCTACTTAATAATTGAATCCATTTACTAAAAAAATACTTTAATCATTTTGAAATATATAGAAATAAGCAATGATAATATAATTATTGGTAAGTTATGTAGTACAAATATTTCTAAATTCCAAATTATAAAAAAAATTTTATTTGTTATATATAAATTATATGAATATTTAAAAAATATGAATGTTTCAATTTTTAAAAAGTAGCAAAAAATTATTTATGTCATTTACAATTTGATATAGTTATATTGTAAGATTAAATAATTTAAATATTACCTTTATATGACTCGTACAACGAATATCTTATCTTTGACATCAAAAGAGCGCGATTACACTCAATTTTTTGCACTATTCATCACTAATAAACATAAAAGAATTTTAAGTAAATATAACCAATTGCAGAAGAACTGTTTAATTTCTTATCCAATAATAACTAACGACAAAATTTTTTAATATGTATATATATATATATATTATATATATATATACATAATAAATTATTTTATTTAAATTTTAAATTTTATATATCATATATTATACTTGTATTGCAAATTTAATATATATAATTAATATATTCTTCCGAATTTTGAATTTCTATATAGAATTATATGTTAATATTATTTTGTATTTATATCCATTTAAAGATTTAATATTTTTATTAATATTATAATTTTTTATAAATGTGCATAAATAATAAAAAAAAGTTGCATTATTGTTTAAAAAAGATTGAATTAAATCATTGAAATTGAACATTTTCCACAAGCTAAACTCTTATTTCATAATTACATTATAATTTTCTATAAATTGATTACTTTTTTTGTTCATTATTTTAAAATTAATAATTCAAAATATTTATTCATTATTATTAACATTGTAATACAATCATAAGAGAATACATTATAATTAAAAATTATACATATTAATTGCAATACAGACTGATAAATATTATTATAAATATTATAGGTTTTTCTATTTATAACCCAATGCGATGAATTATATTAATTTTGATATAATGAATTAATATTTTAAAGAATGCATAATTAAATCCTTTCTAAATTAATTGTTAATAATATTTTATAATAATAATATTAATATCATATTATTGTTTATTAATGTAAATTTTACATATGAATACATTTTTGTGTAAATTCTTAAATTAACATTCCAAAAATAAAAAAAATTTTATACATATATACACAATAAATATATATATGTATAATATTATAACAAAATTATATGTATATACATTAAAATATAAAACAATACAACAGTATTGAATAGAATAGTTTTATACGAAATATATAAAAAATACAATATGCATTAATGAAAGATAGTAGTAATATTTTTTTTTAGTTGCATTAGCTATACATTAGGTGCTCAAAACTGTTATCCATAGATTATTGAAAGTTTATTAAATGTAAATTCAAATATATGTAGCTCTTATTTAAATATTTAGCTTTATTTAAATATTCATTTTTTTGAATTATTTAAAATTTCAAATTAATTAACGAAAAGAAAAGAAAGAGCTTTACATATAACAGAATACAATTCTTTTATTAATATAAGATATTGTGTCTCATATTATTAATCATAAATATTTAATGTTATTAATCATAATATTATTTTGCATATGAGTACAATTACAAATAATTGTAAAAAAGTAACATAATGATAGATCAGTGTAAAAAAATTAATGAAATAAATCAAAGTTTAAAATGATTATGTAATTCGTAAATTTTTATTGCAAAAATAATTTAAATAAATTAAATACATCAAGAATTGTATATTATATATATTAAGGAATAGATTTTTATACATTATTGGTAACCTGTCCTTTCATTTTCTTAAAAGTTCCTTTTTATGTAATAAATCATATATTTTGATGCTATATCAAAATAATTGAGGAATGGAAATTCATATAGATTATAATGCATTTATGACACATCCTATTTGAGATATCTGATTAGTTTATATGATAATCATAATAATACATCTTTCAAATTGATAAAATAAGATTTCAGAGACTTCTTTCATCCTATATCTTTTATGTATTTCTGAATCATTTTTAAATAATCCAATTTTCTTCTTCTTCATTGCCATCTCCAAAAAGCATAGATATGAATCATTAATTATTCTTTCTGATTGGTGTTCAATTTAACACAAAAATATTTAATTACTTAATAATTAACAATTTACAAAGAAAAACTGGAATTTCTCATATTTTATCAAATTCTAAGTCAACCTTCTTGAGAACTTTTTAAATATGATGAATGAGAATTTTTAAATATTTAAAAGCATTTATCCTTAAAATAAATCTAGATAAAGAAAATTTTCAGATTCATTTATTAATAGTATCTCTAAGTGTTTCCATTGAACTCTTCCTAATTGTAGGGGTTGAATGAGATGTCTCTGGAGAACTGGGAGATATTTGAGAGTTAATATAGAAATAATTCTGTTTGCAAATACTTGAAATTTCTGTAGAATACATGCTAGTTAAAACAAAAAATATAAAACTGAAAAAATGCAGAATTAAATTTTTTTTTTTCGATTGTTATAGAATAACATTGTTTCATTTTTCATTTTTTTTAAATATTTAGTTTATTTTTTTTTAATTAAGTTTAATTAATTCTTAAGAAATGTGTATAAACGTTATTATGTTTAAAAAAAGAAATTCTAATAAACAGACGTTTATTAATGACAGCAATAAATTATTTTTACTACATTTTTGAATATATTTTCCTCTTTTTTTGTCTTCATCTTATACGATACGAGACTATTCATGATATTTTCTTATGCGCATGCGTCCATTGACGTTTACAAGTATTATAGAAGTAGGAGATTATATTCTATTTCACTTAAAACCTTCAGAATATAGCTAAATATTTTTGTATCCAAAATTTCAAAAAAAATTAGTAATGCATAATTTTTATCTGATATTTATTTTTTTCGATAATTGTAATATAATGTGAAAACTATATTAAAATATAAAATATAAAAGTAATATACTGAATTATATTTCATAAAGACCATTTTATACGGTTTAAATGATACTAATTTCATTAATAAAAATTATTATACTTTAGTTTATAACTATTTCTAAGATCAAGTTAAAATTATTTAAAAATCCTAGATTAATAATAATTTTTATAATTAACTTTTACTATAATTCGAGCCAATTAAGATATCATTAAAATAATATAAATAGCAATCAATTAACATATATCATTAAAACAATAAAAATCAAATATTATAATTTTTTACTTTTATTTATTAATATTTATAAATCAATAAAATTCTGTTTGAAAAAAAATTTGAATAGATAAAGATGTTCTCGATTTGAACCATAACCAAGTAACAAAGAATAATGCAGTAGGAGATGAAAATGATTATACATATTAAAACAAGAAAGAGAAAGGAAAATGGATACCACGGATACCTGGAGGAAAACCTTATATATCATAATGGAATTTCAGGTTCGTGACTCCTGCACTTATTGAGGGTTAGGTTGACGTTTCACGAAAGTATCGATGCGCAGAAATTTTATATATCCAACAAAATGTTATTAATATAATTACAATAAATACTAAATTTTAAAGCTAGCACATGATTTTCGTAATCACAAAATAATAAGAATTCGAAAAAGAACGTAAATACGTCCACAAGTAACACAAGGAAACGAATAGCGGAAAGCGTGGTCGAAACACCCAATGCGATTAGTCGAATAGCCTCTTCATACATAGAGATATGCGCATGCGCAATTGAAGATCATAGGTACGTATCTATACTAAAAACGAAATAGATTTAGAACCCTTATATTAATAATTTTTATAATTTTTTATATAATTCCAATCATAAAATATATTTGTTTTTAAAATATATGAATTTTTAAAAAAAAGTTACATATACTTATTTATATATAATATTACTTTTAATATTATATTGTTTCTATTGTTATAATAATGATTGAGTTATTTTTATAAAGTTCAAAGTAATTTAAACTATAGATGCCGATGACCTCGTGATCATTCTTATTTCTTTTAAATTAATATTATGTTTTTTATTATTGAATATATTTTAATGACATGTTATTTTATTTAATTTATCTTGGATATTACAATAACTATATTGAAATATTCATTTATCTCTTATATTATAAATTCTAATCTTGAAATTTTCAAATTTATGCAATAGTATATTCATTATTTACGTTTAATTAACTAAAAATTTAAAAAAAAAAATTTATTATTACTTTACAGTTTAATACGAAAGATCTGATTTAATATACATATATATATATATATTTTATATATATATATATAAAATATTATATTTTTACAATCTATTTTAATAATAATAAACATTAGTATGTGTTTATATAATAATTTATAATATTATATATAACGTGTAATGTGTAGTTCTATAGTCTTTACAAGAAAAAAGTAATCAATACATAGTCATATGATATCTAAACGAACCGTTTAAACGCGGGAAGAATAAACTCTTTTGCACGAAGTTTGACATGACAAGTACTACATTGCTTCAACAGTTCAGAGACACTTTAAGGTGACCGTCCTCTGATGAACACCTTTAATAAATACGTTCCTGCTAGCCGCACTACTTTTCTACAGTATCCCCACCAATATCATGTGTACGGGTTGGTAAATTGTGATTGGTCGAACCAATGATTGGTAATAGTGGAGGGGAGCAATCACGTCACGAAGTGAGGCCGAGAAGCGACGAGGCGCATGTATCAATGCGCAATCGCATCGGAACAGTTCAGGGAGTCGGGGAGGTCCGTGGTAAGGAATAAACAGAGTGAAGAGACCGCGCGAGAGACGAAGAGTGGGGAAGGAGAAAGAGAGAGAAAGATAGAGAACGAACAGGCAGTGAGACGATCACGATGCACGGAGGCGAGCACAAGCGGCCAGGGGCACAGGGCTGAGGGCTGAGGGCTCGACAGGGCCTGGAATAACGTTCACGGGACGGCCGTGGGCCAGTCAGCAGCTATGGAACAAACGAAAACTCCCGCGT